TAAATGGGGGACTAAATTGAGCGAAACACAAAAGTCTGGGACGATATTAGGTCACCAAAGTCGTTTAGGACGAAATTGAGAAAAATCACTATAGTCGAGGACGATTTTGGGTATTAACTCCTTAAATAAATAACCACACATAATGACCCCCATTTATCCATTTAAATATAATAATTTTTTTAAGTTACCTCGAAATGATATAGTGGTAAAGCATGATTCTGGTTGAGCTCGTCGCAATAAATCTTCTTAATATAATTTATTTCTCGTGTGATTTTAGAATTATTACATATGAGCGAGATTTGCTCAACCATATTTTGTGATAGCTCCGGATTTACTCAACCTTATATATATATATATATATATATATATATATATATATATATATATAGGGAGTGGTTCTGGTGCGAAGAAGGCCGTAGGTGAAACATGCTAATAAATATCAGCCTTTGATCAAGTCCTTTAAGAAAAAAAAATTTGTCATTGCACCTATGGTCGTCAACTATGTGATATGGAAGGCACAACAATGAGTACGGGAAGATAAAAATGTACACGAGAAGGCACAAAGATATAAAACAATTATTGAAAAAGACTAAATTTAATATAGGATCTCAACACAAACCATAAATGACCATAAATAATAAACAAGCAAACAAGATACAACTCAAATTAGTAATTAGTGATCAATATTAACTTATTTTTTTTAAAAAATAAAAATAAAAATCTGCCACCTCTGGAAGGCTCAACAATGTGCTTTAAAAAACTCAACAATGTGTAGTCAAGGTAAAATAATATGCACTTCGAAGGCACAACAATATTATACTATCTTTGTTCTATTTTTTTGTGCCAAGTTATAATAAGAATTGACTCAAGTTATTTACAATTTAATATTTTGTAATATTTAATTTCATGTTAGTATACAAAATGACGTACTATAAAACATGAAATTGATTTAAAAAGGTATTGACCTTATGGTCTAGTGACATAAATGGCTCTCCCAAATGGAAAGTTATGGGTTCGATCTCAGTGGGATGATATTGACTCTTTGTACTTCAGTCGATTGAAAAAGTAGTTATGAAAATATACTATATTGTAACAAAATTGGTATTACACAAAAAAAGGTATGCAATAAATTTAAAAAGGTATTGATTTTAATAATGTATAATTATAGGTAGTACTCAAAAAAACAAATGTACTAATTATAGAATATGACAAAAGTGATGCAATGAACATTAATAGCAAGTAAATACAAAAACTATAAAGACTCTTAATAGTAATATGCATTTGAATCTTGCATAAAATCTAAACAAAAATAAATTAACTATTGAAAGAAGTTGACACCCATATTATTCGATGCTTTATATAATGTATATTTTACTGATGAAATTATTTGAATTAATAAAATACAAGAAATCAAGAAGTTATATACAAAAATAAAAGGGAAAATGGCACTTTTTCCCCCTGAGTTATATACCTATAGCATATTTTCCCTCTAAATTATTAAAGTGGCTGTTTTTCCCCCTAAAATGTTAAATGGACATATTTACCCTTAAACTAAATATTTAATTTATTTTTTTTCTCCAATAAATTATGACTATAATTTGGTTCAAACCAAACAAACACTATAGCAACCAAACCGAAATATTTCAATTACAATTTAGAATCAAAATTCGATATTTAGAGTTTATTAAAATCGTGAACCGGAATGGACGGTTCATGTTCCGAACTGAAAAAATAAAATACATTTATTGTTGAATTTAGACTATTTTAAAATAAAAAAATAAAATTTTAAAATAAAGACGGTTCAAAATCGCGAATCGGATCCGGAACCGCCAGTTCACGGTTCAAGATTCAATTTTTTTGATACATAATTTTAATAAATTCACATTTAAATATTGGGTTCTAGATCTGAATTATAACCGGAAACTATTAATTCGATTGCTTTAGTATCCGGTTCAATTCAAACCGAACTGTGGTCATCCCTACGTATACGCAATAATTTATTGGAGTAGTAAAATAAATAAAATGTTTACTTTAAGGGTATACATGTCAATTTAATATATCAGGGGGAAAAGGCACCACTTTTAGAATAATTGAGGGGGCTAATGTGCTTACCTAAATAATTGAGGGGGAAAAAGTGCTATAAGTATATAACTCAGGGGTAAAAAGTGCCATTTTCCCAAAATAAAAATATTATCAACATTCTCGATGGAGTCTATGGCTTCTTATTGCAATTTACTCCTTATGTATATAGTTTTTAATACACAGGAACAAAATTTATCTAGTACATACACGCAAGTAACAATTGCGAATTTTCCTTATAACTCAAACAACAATCTATTTGACTAATAAAATATATACCTTTTTTTGAATGCTACTAGCCCTATTACATTGTAGTATCTGAAACACAAAGAGCTAATAATGCCTCCATTGAAGCTTGAACTCATAACCTTCCAAATAAAAGTCCAACCCGGGTACCATTAGACCACATAGTCCTAGTAACTAATAAAATATACCTATTACAACAAAAATATCATACAAAATTTCTTTTGGTATTTTGTGCACTCATAGAAGTAATGCACTTGATTTTTTTTTTTTTTTTTGAGAACAGTAATGCACTTGATTTTTTTTTTTTTTTGAGAACAGTAATGCACTTGATTTGTGCATACATAAACGCACGAAATGAATCAAAATTCAAGTATGTAATTTATTTAGGGTGTGTTTGATTGGTTCGAACATGAGAATCGAAATTGGAATGAGAATCAAATGTTTTATAATTGAAATGGATTTTGGTGAAAGTATTTTGCATATTTGATAGTATGGTGAAATTGGAATGAATACCAGTTTTGATATTTGGTTATGTATAACTCTATAATCAGATTAAAGGTTTTAAAAATACAAAAACAAAAAATAAATGCAAGTGATTTTAAGAGTGGCGATGAAAGTGAGTTGACAATGCAGTAAGGAAGTCGATGACGTGATGAGAGATGAGTGAGGATGCGACAAAATGAGGATCCGGATGCGATGAAATGATGAGGGATAAGACTGAATAAATAGAATGATACCTGAATTAAATTAGGTAATGAATTTTGTAATTATAATAATAATAAAATCATATATATGTGTTTTAAAAAATTGTAAACCAAACAATGTGTATAGTTTCATTCTCATTCATTTTATCTTACCCCCATTAACCAAACACACCCTTAATTCATTTTAATTATTAGTCATTAATTTGAGAAATTGAAATGTCAAAGTGAGTATATAAATCAACTTTTATGAGATTTTTTTTTTTAAAAAATATGATATTGAACCTTGTTTAGAAAAATGTATAATAACTTACATGGATGATGACTATTACTCCGCATATGATTACATCATATAAAGAGTTTTAAGTCAAACATTCTCCAAATAAAAAGTTAAATTCAATAGGCGCAGTGCATGCTGAATCTTGATTAGGTCTCACAAATGTTGAAATACTGAATATTGTGTGTATAATTTGGATTAGGTGTGAACATAGACTTCTTGTGTGAACTTACATTTTTAAATTGATATCCACACTTTTTTTATAATTTATTTATTTCAAGTTCTGATATGCATTTTTATAATTTATATTGTATTTTTTTTTCTAAAAAAAAAAGTCAACCCACATTTATAGAAAATCAAAATGTCTTTGTATTTAACGATATATTTTAATAATTTTATTGATGAATAGCCAAAAATGATAATGCCACAATAATAATAGGATCAATGATGGATGTTTTGAAAAAGAACTAAAAGTGGATTGATACCTATAAATCTATGATTAAAAAAAAAGAATTAACTCTAGTTTTAAGGTAGTGCAATTTTACACGGGATATGTAAATTATATTAAGAAGAACATGTACGACAAGTTCCACTAAAATGGTGCTAACAATAATTAAACTGATGACTTCTTGATACAAAAATTATACTCTACCCACTTGATCACACATTTTGAGTAAAATTGTTTGTATATAAATTCATCCACATGAAAATAATAAAATGAATCTTAAAGTTACTAGTAAAATAAAAAGGAAAGAGAAAAATAAAATGATCTGAAATAGTAAAATACGAGAGGCGAGTTGTCAATGTAAATAGACCGGCAGAAGTTTGGCAGCAAATATGGTGGGGGTGTTATTTAGTAGTTAGACTCTGTGGGCCCACCACTCCACTCTGTTTTTAACATCTCTCAAGTCTCATCACTCTGTCTCCTCTTATATTGTTGCTGTCTTTTCACTCTCATTAACCGCGCGTGATCCCCTCCTTTTCTTTTTTAACCATAATTTTGCTTCAAAAGTATAACTCAAACTAGTAAAAAAAACATTTTTGACCAAAAAAACAACACATTAATTCAAATCCTGAGAACATACAGATAAAATCATGAGAGTAATCAATCCACTCCATATGATCTACAAAGAAATAGACTTCCGAACTAGATAATGGACAGCTTGATTCGCGGATCGTCTAGCAAAGCTAATAGAAATGTGGCTAATGGCATCCCAAGGGAGAATTTTGGACCAGATTTTAATCAATTAAGGTGAGGTGGAGAAAAGAGAGGGAAGAGAAAGAAAGGGTGGGGTGGTCCTCCAAAAATGGAGATTTTGCATAAGTAGTGGGTCCCACTATGGAAGTGAAAGATGCGCCTCACGTGCGTGAGGCGCGAGTAAATATAAATATATATATATATATATATATATATATATATATATATATATATATATATATATATGTGTGTGTGTGTGTGTGTTTTTTTTTTTTTTTTTTTTTTTCAAATTTTAGTTTTCTTTTTTCCCTTTTTTTTTTTTTCATCCCCTCTCATTTTCTCTTTCCTAATCACACCTGTAAAATACCCTCAAAATCTTCACCTAAAAGACAACATCATTTCGTTAATATCATGAAGAAGATGATTGAAAGAAGAATCTCTTGCATTGTTGTTGAGGGCATTCACAAGATGTTGACCATATGTTTCAACCTCCACAAAATTAGCATTTCTTTCTTTGAGCCAGCTTAAAATCCTCTCGGGTTGCCATAGCTTCCGCTTCATTAGGTTTGAAAACTCTTATCCACGGCACACTCCTGGCTGCAATGAACGCACATTCAACAGCTCTAATCACAAAACCAAACCCCATCTTCCATGAATTCTTCTGTACAATTGCATCAATATTCAACTTGATCCATCCGGGTTGAGGTTTCCTCCCCTTCTCCATTCTGGTTCCTTGCAACCTATTGCTTTGCCTTGACTCCACAACATTCCTCAATTCTGTTAGGTAGCTCATGACAATATTCACAATTGTTGATGGGGACAGAACTTGATTATTCCACACCCTCTCGTTTCTAGCATACCAAAGTCTCCAGCAGATGGCATTGTTGTTCTTTCTCTAGTCTAGCAAAGGCTCTCAGAGCCAATCTGTAAAAGAGTAATAGCCCCCAAAATTAAAGGGATTTCCCATCATATTCAATTAATAATCTGATAATTAATACTTGATTAAAAAATTAAAAAAAATTGATCCCAAATTGACTCAATTAATATTAATATTTATGTTGGACTGTCATACTTCAATATACATCACAAAAATTCATCACAGAATATAATCACAAAAAAAAAAAAAAATCTGTTACTCACAATATATAAAATTTATATTATTTATTTATTAATATTGGATTAATACTATATATAGTTTAGACTCATACTATAATTTACACTCATACTCATACTGAATATACTCACAGAATGGATTTGTTAATAAATCTACACATAATGGATTTGTTAATATATCTACACTAAGGTCACCGAACCTTAGAGTTTTGGCCTAAAGGCGGCCAAAACTCGGCCGGCCGCCTAGGCGGTCAAACTCGGCCGAGTCGACCGATTTCGTCCGATTTTGATTTTGACCATTTTGACCAATTTTGTCTGATTTTGTTCGATTTTGTTCGATTTTGACCGATGTCGTCTTTCATTAATTATTGATTTTAATATTATTATGACATTATGACTTATAAATTATAATTATTTCATTTATTTAGATGTGTTATTTGAGTGAACGTTGAAAACAACCTCATTAAAATTGTCGAACTACAAGTCTGTTACTATTTTTTTTTAAATTTTTTTGGTGCCCGCCTAGCGCCGCCTAGAATCCGCCTAGGCGCTAGGCGCTACCCGGCCGCCCGACTAGCGCCTACTGCAACCATGAATTCTACACAGAAAATATATCTTCCATACAGATAAATTAGGATATCAAATGATTTTTATAACTAAGTTGCTAGACAACAAATAAATTTGCCCAATTAATACAAAATCTCTAAAGTTTCAACACTGGATGCGTACATCTACACATTGACTATTAATTAAACAATTATTTTCTCGAATTCAGACAATGATAACATCAGAAAATACAATTGATCCAACTCAATTTTTAATTATATTATTTGATGCTATAATTTATATAATTGTATATCGATTCAAATATTATAATAAATTCATTCTGTATATCGTACGAGTGAAAATTACTAATACTAGAAATAGAAAGATTGTACCGTTTAAAAACACTGGAGGAGCACGCGCAGAAAGCGCGTGGATTAGGCGCTACTCTGCAAAGAAAGTGATACTATGGGATGACCTGCGCCTTTGCCGCTGCCCCCCTGCCCCACCAGACAGACACATTACAAATTCCTATCTCTGTCTCTCTCTCTCTCTCTGTATTTATACGGGGCTAGATGCGTATATACGAACGTATTGAATTGCTCAAAAATTAAAATAAGCTGACTAAATAATTTGCTTATGATATTATTTTACCAAAAAATTCCTTTTAAAGCCAAATTATTGGAAGGGCAAATACTCGAGTTTTGCATTCGCCATGCACCGACCAAACCTCAATAGCCTTCGCATCTTGCAAAATATGATCAATCCAATTAAAATTTCATAAATATTACTTCATATACATGATTTTGAACTTCTGAACTCATGCTTTAACTTTGATCCATTTGTACAGTACACAAAATTATATTCTAATATAAACATTACTAAAACTTGCTTTCAACTATAAGGTAGAAATCGAATTCAATTCCCGCCACAAACATTGAACAATCATTATAGGCTTATAGCATAGACCATCGTCCATATTGTAATGTGGACAATTGACATGCATGTTAATTTTTTTTTAATATAATGTTCATTTTTAGTGTATTAATGAACATTTATTATTGGGTATATATTATCTAAAAAAGAATCTCCAATACATTAAAAATGACCTTCAATATACTAAAAATGAACATTTATCATGGTACACAATATCATTTGCCAACATTGAGGGATTGTGTTTGAATTAGACTCCTTGTACATAAAAGTGTACAAAAAGGGCCCCAATTTTTTGAATGTTCATTTTTTGTGTGTTGACCATTATTATTAGGTATATTATCTAAAAATGAATCTCCAATACACTAAAAATGAACATTTATCATGGTCCACAGTATCATCTGCCAACATTGAGGATTTGTGTTTGAATTAGACTCATTGTACGTAGAAGTGTACAAAAAGGGCCCATATTTTTTGAATGTTCATTTTTGGTGTATTGAACGTTCATTATTGGGTATATCATCTAAAAATGAATCTCCAATACATTAAAAATGAACCTTCACTATACTAAAAAATTATTATGATCCACAATATAATTTGTCAACATTAAGTGTTTGTGTTTGAATTAGACTCCTTGCACGTAAAGTGTACAGGGACACACACTTTAGCCCAACAAAGTTACATGTGGGAGAATGTAAATCATGTGCAACTTAGCATATATTTTGGACATAACCATCACACTATCACTATCATTGGTGAATTTCAATTTTTTTTTTTTCAAATAATACCTACTGAATCAATGTGTTAAGTCCGTGGTGCCAATCAAGTTGAAATTAGGTTATCAAAGTAACATGAATCCAAGGAGTTACAAGAGAGAACCCGTGATCCGACCAAGCAACCCCATCTATCTTTAATTTCTTGAAAAAAACATAATTTTGGGGGAAACCCCCAAAAAAGAAAAAGGTGAGACACAAAGTTAATGAAGAGAAATAAAACCAAGGGACTGAGACGTCACACCAACACTTTGTCTAGGCCTAAAATAATGGAGCCCAACTTTATTAAAGTGACAACGTTGGTAAGGTCATTTTCATGGAGAAAAAGACGGTTACGTTGCAGCTGCAGATGGAGATGGATGAAAGCAATTAAATTTAACTCTCCGATCCCTTTGCCATCTCATCTTCTATCCATCCACATTATCATAAAGCTAAGCTGCGCTAGGGATATATGGAATTCAAGAATTGAGCCCTCGAGACTCATGCCGGCAACTTTAATTTGCTCCTGCCATTATTCACTGTTTGATAATTACCTCACACTACCACCTCATGTGTATGTATATATATATATGTATATAGTGATGATGAGTGGCACTAATTTATTTGGACAGCTACTGTTGTCATGTATGCCTTCCTCGATGCAATATCCACGCTTTTATGTATGTTAATCATATAATATTATTATAAACAGGAGATGGTTTAAGCATATATTACAAAATAACTAGTATTTCACCCGTGCGATGCACGGTATAAAAAATACAAACAATTATGTTATAAGTATATTATATTGTAGATACAAAAAATAAAAGGATATATTTATAAGGATGTTACATAAATAATTAAACAATTGAATTGTTATTATAAAATATATATTTAATAATTATTTTAAATATATTATTTTAACAACTGTAATAAAAGTTTGTAATCATTGTTCTAAAGTAAAATACTTAATTAGTATTAACATTACAATAGTATAAACATTACAAATTATTGAATACTTCTTTGTAAACAACATTAGTTGTTGACTTACAACATTTATCTAAATCATTACAAAGTAAAATCTTTAAACCAGTTGGATTACTAACTCTTGAAGCAACAACATACAATTGACCATGCACAAACACCGGTTTTTTCAATAACAACCCCACATGTGATAATGTTTGACCTTGACTTTTGTTAATGGTCATGGCATAAGAAAGCATTACTGGGAATTGTCTTCTACTGAACTTAAATGGCAATCTCGGATCGGAGGGAGTCATACTCATCCGAGGAATCAAAACCCGTGTACCTGCATGACTGCCTGACATTATTTTAGCCTCAATGACATGTTCTGAAAGCCTGGTGACAACCAATCTAGTACCATTGCATAGTCCGAGTGAGTGATCAATGTTTCTTAACAACATAACTGGTGAACCAACCTTTAATGTTAATGAATGATTTGGTATACCAGATGCCTTAAGACCATTAAGGAACTCAGGTGTGTGTACGTCTGCAAGTACCCCATCTCCATTCTCAGCTCTACAAACAGAATCACAACTAAGATATGTTCTACTCTCAGCTTCGTGCATGTTACTCATGTATTCATTAACTGCGCTCACAACATCAAGTGTTGGTGCAAGAATTGCCCGACTCTCAAGAAAACTATTATCGCACGAACCATTTTGGAACATAGGAAATGTACTTTCAACAATGGTTGCGATGGGGTCACCAGTTGATGACAAAAGCATTTCGTCAGGAATTTCAACCTCTGCACAATCTTCATTCGATGCACCTGTTGTACCATCCCCAATAGCAGCAATCCACTCTGCAAATTGTTCTACCTGTTCTATTTCTAGGACATTCTCCAAACGATGTAGGCGCAAATTTTTGGTCAACCGAAGTACTTTACAACTCTGCCAAAGGTAGGATGAATTGATTGTTGAAGAAACGATATCTTGCCTCGACCCCTTTGGAATTACAGGTAAGATCTGCCTGAAATCACCACCTAGAACGACCGTCTTACCACCGAATGTAGAAATCTCACTGAGAGGATTTGCGAAGCGCAGCAAGTCTCACATAGTTCTATCTAGTGCTTCGAAGCAATGTTTGTGCATCATGGGAGCTTCGTCCCAAATGATTAGCTTTGTCTTGACAATCAACTCACTAAGGTCGCCACCTGGTTTAATATTACATGTGGAGTCCTCATTAATATTAATAGGTATAGCAAACCTTGAGTGTGCAGTCCTACCTCCAGGCAAAAGTAGCGAAGCAATGCCACTTGAAGCTACATTGATAACTATTTCACCTTGCGACCGCAATGTGGAAGATAGAGCCTTCCATAGGAATGTCTTCCCTGTTCCGCCGTAGCCATAAACAAAGAATAATCCACCACCGTTAGATGCAACATCTCCAATTATTGTATCATACACACCCCTTTGCTCTTGAGTTAGTTGCCCTGCCAACCTAACACTCTCATCTGCAAGGGCTGCACGATCATATGACAATTCTTCAAACAACAAACGATTACCATTTAGCCTTGAAGAAGAACAAATCGGTTGAGGCATTGGAGGAAAGTCTTTTAAAGATTTGTTGTAGACTTCTAACAACTTCTCTAACTCTATTAGAGTTAAATTCTCCTTCTCATCATTTGTTAACACCAAATCTGTAAATAAAGACACAAATTACATATTGTAAGTATTGGATAAGAATAAAAGCAAATCTTTCACCATAAATCTATAATTAATGCGAACCTGTTATTGATAAAAGTCTGCGCTGATTATATTGTACATCTTCAGAAAGGAAATGAGAAACCTCATTCCAAACAATTTCTGGTCTATTAAATGAATTTGATGTCAACAACGTGACAAAAAGTTTTCTCATAGATTGAGCAGATGACCAATGACTTGCTTCTTTAATAGCATCAATATACTCCTTATCATCATCTAATAGACCACGTGCATAATATGCATCTCTAAATGACTGGTATTGTACACCATTAAAGCATCGGATCTCCTCAAAACTTGTAGCTCCACGAACTATGTTTAGAAGGCATCTCAAATAATACAACTCTCCAGTACCAGGAGGTACATAGAAAATACGACCAATTGAAAACCCTTTCTTTCTTGGATTCCATTCTCGGATGTCCTTTTTCCAAACAAACTTATTTGGCATCTCAATATAAGTTAGTAACTTTGCCTCAGGGAACCTTTTGTTGGCTTCAAACCATCCATTGAACATACTCTGACCAATTGTCTCTCGCATCAGAACGTTGTCAACTGTGTCGTCATCCTCAAATATAATTGTTTGACAATCTGGTAAGTGAAAACTTAGCCTCTCAACAGCTGGTGTTCTGAATTGCACCTCGAAGCTAAACAGACGCCATGTAGCCTCACAAGCTGATATGTACCGACAGTCATAGTACATGTTTATCTCATCAATAACTTCATTACCATGATCGTCAGAGGTGCTTTTATAAAACTCGACTGTGACCCTATCATTCCCTTTATTCACATATTTGAATAAGTATTTGATGGACCTTGATTGATTGCACCATTCCACGTTCATATGAGCCCTATACTTCATAAGCAAGTGCCTATTGTGTGGTACAACATATCTATTATCCAATTGAATACCATTTTTGGTTACAATCTTACCATCATCTCTACGCTTATAGATTGGGTAACCATTTTCATCAAAATTGGATGAGTCAACAAATTTTTTGGGGAAATGCTTTGAACACCTCCCATTCACCATACAAGGAGATTGCTTTCTTACATGTCCACAAAGACCATGGACCATGAATTCTTCTACAACGTCGTAGTATTGTTGATCCACTTCTTTGTTCGGTATCTCTGCTGATATAATTGTGTCAATGAAATTCGAATCAGCATTCCGATTATTGTTTGCTAAAAACAGTAGAATGTGAGCATGCGGTAGACCACGCTTCTGGAACTCAATAGTGTATATCACTAAAAAAAAAAGTAATTAGTACTGATCTAATATTTATGTAAAGTAACAGTTGATTATTTTATTATCAAAAGGACTTCACCTGCTCTAACTGTACCAAATAATTCTCCTGATCGCAAATCCTTTATCAGATCATCCAACTTCATTTTAAAAACACGACAGACAATGTCAGGTCTATCTTCAGCTTTTAAATCACGTTGAGATAGGTATCGTTGAATTTCAGGCCACTTAGGATTACATGTGAATGTGATGAATAGGTTTGGATAACCTATCCAACGACATATGGCCATAGCATCCTGGTAGTTTTGTACCATATACCGAGCACCACCGGTGAAGCTAGATGGTAGAATAATACGCTTGCCTTGTGTGCTAGGATCAATCTCACCACGCGTAAGTGCATCTGACAACCCTTTATAAGCTTCACACCTTAAGGATTTTTGGTTGTTCCTTATGTATATAAGCCTTCCTGTTTCCACCATTGTGTACGCGTCTACCACGAACTGTTGAAATAACCTCTTAGAGAATAGCAATGTTGATAATTCTCCAGGCCGTTCGTGAATGCGAAAAGAGAAGAATTCCCTTGCTGAAATACGATGCCTACCATTTGTTTGGATGTTGGAATCTCTACACAGTTGTATATCCTCTCTGTAACCATCTTCACCATATGGATATAAGATTGGATATTGCAAAGGTAAGTATGATGGGTGCAATTCACTGATCCTTTTCAAGAGGCCATACCGTGTCTCAACCAATATGTCACGTTCGCCCATTGTTGGGTCCAAGTCGCCCACAATGAGTGCTGCAACCTCTGACACTGTTGGTAGGTCATATGTTCGGGCATCTTTATTTCGTTTACCAATTAGTCTCATCTTGATTTCTACACATGGGTTTGATTCAATTTGTGTCTTGGCATTGCGAAATGATTTAACTAAAACATTATTCTCGTCAAGAACATTTTTAATATCGGAAACAACATCAACATGAATGCTATCTTTATCGTTGTTCTTCCTACAATTAAAAAAGTAATTATTAACAAAGAATAATGAATAACCTTAATAAAAGAAACTACTACGTAATAATTAATATTAGTTTCTAACCAACACTATTTTGTATATATCAGGAAATCACATACCTTACAGAACCAATACGATTATTAATCTCATTTTCTGTGTCGTGAATATACAATTGAGCAAATTTCGGTTGATTACCATGTTGGGGTAATAAGCTACCAATTGAATGGAAATTCTGACCATTGATTCTAAAAATAGGTGGTGCACCACCACGATTAATTGTATGGTCAATCTTACCACCCATGGATGTGAAACTAAACATACTATTGTATGACCTAATGTTGTTCAAAAAACATGTTCGCTTCTCCCCTATTGCAAAGAACAAATCATACAACTCTTTTGGCGGGATAGACATTTGCGGCAATTTTATTTTCCCATGTGCACAACAAACCGAGTATTTTGGAGATGACTTGACCCTAGACTGGCTTAAGCGCTCATTGTACCAAAATGTTGCAGAACAATGCTCACAACTATACATAGGATCGCCACAATCAGCATATTCAACTACATCGCAATTGAAACAAATGACTTGTGAGCTAATATAGAACTGCTTAATTATAGTTCCAATTATAAACATTTAACAAAATTAGTGAAAAGATAAATTACCATAATTTACTACATCTTCATGAACCTCGTCAAATTGTTGACTCAAGTCCCGACATATTACCACCTGTGTAAGAGGATGTTTTGGAATATTTCTTGTAGGCATTCCTGCAAAATCGACTGTAGTGTTAACATTACCTACAAAATTGATGCTATAGTCTTAAATTTATATTATCCAAAATTTACATGTTTAAATTATTATGTACTTACGTGTAGGTGTATTAAATAACAATGACTTTACCAAAATGATTACAAAAATTTTAAAAGTTTAAGCTTACCATTTGTAACGTCACTACAAGGCAAAGAAGGTGTTAGTTCAACCGTATCTTTCAGCCTACTGGAGGCAGTAGCCTTGTTCTTATCAATGCATATAGAGCTCATATTTTGTACTACAAAGGAAAAGTAATTTTCACTAATAAACTCATAATTAATACATTATAAATAAATTTGTACATATATTTGATATTAAATTGTACTAATGTCTACGTTGGATGTATTTTCTTTTACCTGCTTTGTTCTTGCAAGTTGGTGTCTGATATGTCCCACAAAATATAGAATTGTTGTTTGTGTTACGAATAGTCGTATTAACAACATTTCGATCTAAAAGAATAATAATAAAATTAGATTAGAGAAGTATTTGTTCATAATATCTTTTTTTAAAATAACTTAATACTAACCGTTAGTCAACATACTCAAAGGAGTCAATAGCGATCTTTGAAATACCCCATACATGAGCATCGGACTTGATCCACTATTATTCGGTGTAGATGAAGAATTTTCTAACAATAGAACAAAAACAGAGTACATTAGTTAAAGTCATACCGGTCTTATGCATGTGCAATAACTTGTTACACTTACCAATGTAATTTTCTAATAATTATTTTATAGATACATGTTCTTTATATATAAAATATTAAATACATATTATATATATATATATATATATATATAATATGTATTTATTATATAATATAAATATTTTTTTGATATATTTATTATATAATATAAATATTTTTTTGAGAATAACATATATAATATAATATATATTGTGTGGATGGTTTTGGATGGCCTGATTTATTCTAGAAATCACAGCCTCCCATCTCACATGGTTCTGTATTTGTACTTCGGAATCTCCAACAAATTTATGGGTCGAAGATGTGTTATTCCCAGTCATCGCCGAGAATATTACTCCATTACTCCGTTTTTGAAGTCCATTACTATATTTCTTAGGATACAGTTATACAATTCTAGCTGTTTCAACTTGGTTTCGCAGATGGGTAACATCTTTCTTCAATTCAGCGATTCTAGTTCTTTATTTATACTTCAATCTTTCGAGAAACAGATCTACACTTCTATGTCTTCTATATTGTATGTATAGGTAAGATTGAACACATGCATGTAAGATCTGAGTACAGATCTAGGATGTAGAAGATATTTACATGTTTTAGTGTTCTTTTCTATCTATGTATTTCATACTGTTTATGATTTAAGATATAGCAGAATATATATGTAGAATGCAAATTGTACTCTTGACTAACCTTTGGTAGATGATGATGGTATCTTCCTCTTGTTTCCTATAACTGTTGAACTTGATAGTTGCTTCATTTCTGGAAAATGTGGTATCTACCCCAGGCTAAGGCTATTTAGAAAAGCTCTTTGAATGCAGTTTGGAACCGATGGTTGGTCTTATATGCTGTAAAAATTCAAAATCATATTAGAAATGTGTTTTAAATGATGTCTTCACATATCTGTAAAATATTAAAGGCACACCACTGAAATGAGTATCACTGTTTTCCAAATCATAATAAAAATGAAACACATTAAAAATAAATTACTGTGATGAATTTAAATTTTGTTAAGTGCAGTAAGTTTTACCTGTGCACTATGCTAAGGCTGAGTTAGATAAGTTTTACCTCTGTGCACTATGCTAAAGCTGAGTTAGATCACCAATCGGAGTTGAAAGATAATCTAATCTTTGTCAATCTGTGGCTTTCGTAATATGATCTGGATGTATTTGCAACCCAAGTATGGTGTTTCAATAAACAGCTTTTTAGTACCAAAGAGAAGATGTGGTAGAATATGTAGAATTTGTGTGGATATAAACAATGCTTTCTAACTATATATATAGAGAGAGACGTTGTATGCATGTTCTGAAAAGCAAACCCAAAATCTCAAGACAAATAAAGATTTTTCTTGGCAATCAAGAAATTTTTTTAAAAAATTACTACCGTAAAACTTTAGCCAATAGGAATACTTATAGATCTCCATTAGAATTCAAATAGGATTAGACATGTGAGTAAAGTAATGATTTTGCATCTTGGGACTCTAAATTTATTACTGTACTTTGCAGTTTGCATTTATTACTGTACTTTGCATTTATTACTGTACTTTTGCATATTGGGACTCTAATTTTTTTCAATATTGCATTGCATTCCCTCCAAACGTTGTCGTATTAGTTGGGCGGGATTTTTCCACCAAAATCTGTTTGGCTTTTTTTATATATAGGATTTAATATAAATTTAATTATAAATGATTTATTTTAAATTTTATTAAATTTATAATGTAATGATTATTTTGAAATATGTTAAATTTTATTGATTATTTTTAAAAAATATACATCCGTACTATTTAATTATGGTTCCGCCCTTGGACGTGACTATAAAATTTCTAAATATACAAGTTAATTCTTAATTACTTTAACTATTTTGTTTTTTACTATGTTGTGTGTATAAATACTATTTCCTAAAAATAGGAAGTGATAGAAATAATCTTGTGATTAGAGATGCTTAATTAAACTAGTAGTATCATTAACTCAATAGTTTGAGGTAGTTAGTAGATATATAGTTTGCTAATATAACTGTGATGTCGATTTTTTTTTTTTTTTTTTTTTTTTTTTTTTTGGTGTCAAGCCATGTGTCCCAATCGAATACTAAATTATAACATCAAATACTCCAATATTATATAGTGCAATTGAATATATAGTTTGGATCGTTTATGTTTCTTGATGTTATTACCATTACTTGAATTCGAGCAAGTAATTGCTCAAATTAATAGTTAATGTGTATATGTATGTACTCATGCGGTGCGATAACTTTAGAGATTTTTATATATCATTGTTTAGGATTTTTATAAATTGGGCAAATGTGCTCGTTCTCTAGCAACTTAGTTATAGTAATCAATTGCTATCCTAATTCATTTGTATAAAGGATATATTTTTGTCTAGATATATAACAATTTTGTCATTTTGGAAAAAAAAAAAGAGAAAACAAAACATAATATCATCAATTGTATTTACACATTATTGAAAACCTCTTTGTAGACGACATTGGTAGTCACAACACAATCTTGTTCATCATTGTCTAGAGCTAACACCTTCAGGCCATCAGGATGGGTGACTCGAGAGAAAGCCACATATAATTGTCCGTGATTAAAGACTGGGTTTTTAGTAATACGCACCGTGAGTTAGTGTTTGACCTTGGCTTTTGTTGATAGTCCTGGCATATGCAAGCATAAACAGGAATTGTTTACGCTGGAACTTGAAAGGCAATCTCGTATCAAAAGGAGTGAGAGACACTCGGGGGATAAGAACTTTGGTTCCTTCATGTGTCCCATTAATTATTCTTACTTCGACAATGTGATCTACCAATCTTGTGATGTTGAGTCGCGTCCCGTTACAAAGATCAAGAGAGTGGTCTATGTTCCGCAATAACATAATAGGTGCACCGACCTTTAATGTCAATGAATGATTATGAAGACCCAACAATCTCAAACTATTTAAGAATTTAGGAGTGTGTACTTCTAATAGATTTTCACTGTCTGATTCTGCCTTACACAAAGAGTCACAACTTAAATATATTCGTGCTTCTGCAGTATTCATGTCGCACATGTACTAATTAATTTGATCAATGAAATCTAAAGCCGGCGAGAGGATTGCTTGGCCTTCTAGCTGCGATTCATCAATCATGCCATATCTCGAGCTTGGGAATGTGCTTTCCACTATAGTTGCTATGGAATTGTGTCCACACTTCAACAAAAAGTGTGCCGGAATATCTATCTCAAATGAACCGCTGTTTACAACCCTTGCATGTGAATGGTATTATTATTGTGTTACATAGTTGTGTTACTTTATTATTATATTGTAAAGTATATACTTATGTGGTGTATAATCAGTTGACTAGGTAAGTCTATTTGATAGGAGTTGTTAGAGTTGTATTATGTTAATATCTTTTGTAATCTATTTCGGTTAGAACTGAATGAAAGACTTTCTCTAATCTGGTATCAGACAGGTCGATCGCTTTCTCTCTCTCTCCACCGCAAACGTACCCCCTCATTCCCCTCACTAAACCGACCATGTCCACTAATTCGTCGGAGCGTACAGTCTCTACCGCCGGCTCACCGTCGGCCACCGCTCCGAACCCGCTCGTCGGTGCCCACCATTACATCTCCATGAAGCTGACAAATAGGAATTATTTATTTTGGCGAGCCCAATTAATTCCCTTTCTGAGAGGATAAGATCTTCTAGGATACGTCGATGGTAGTACTCCGTGCCCTCCGGAGATCATCGCCGTTGCCCCTGCTTCCGGCAAGTCGTCTCCAGTGTGCCCGCCGTCGTCTCCCAACCTAATCCAGCGTACAAGGCGTGGGTGCAGCAGGATCAATCGATCCTGTCGCTGCTCATCTCCTCCATGGCTGATGAAGTCATGCACCTGGCGCTCGGGCAAGAGACATCCACGCAGGTCTGGGCGTCAATCGCTGCTGCCCTCTGTTCTTCCAGTCAGGCAAGGTGCCTGAATTTACTTGGCCAATTCCAGGCTTTGCGGCAAGGCAACTCCATCACCGCAGAGTACTTGGGGCGTGCGAAATTTCTGGTCGAGTCCTTAGCGCAAGCCGGTAGACCGCTATCGCTGATGGAACAGAACTTGTATGTGTTCCGGGGTCTTCGGACGGAACTGAAGGCTATGGCTGCGTCACTCACCGCCTCCGGCAACCCAGTCACGCAGTCTCATCTCTCGAATTTTTTGCAGGCGAATGAGTTCATCCTTGTTGATGACTATCCCACGACAGAGATGATGGGTTCTCCGACAGCTATGTATGCAGGCCGGGGACGCGGAGCGCAGAATGATGGAGGCCGGCAGTCTCACGGCCAGAACTGGCGAGGTGGCCATAATGGGCGAGGTGGCCAGAGTCGTGGCGGCCGTGGCAATCTGTGGTGTCAAATTTGCCGCTCCCACGGTCACACGGCCGTGTACTATTTTAAACGGTATAATACACAGCCGCCGGCACAGGCTCACATGACGGTCTCCGGTGAAGCGCCGTCGGCATCTACATCTGCGCCGGTTGATGGGTGGTACCCTGATACCGGGGTCACGACACATGCCACGCCCGATGCCAGAATGATGGTTCAATCCGAGGAGTATGGCGGTCCGGACGTGCTACGAGTCGGTAATGGCGCAGGTTTGGTGATTTCACGTATTGGTCACGCATCAATCCCATCCAAATCTCACCCTTTAAATTTATCTAATATATTACATGTGCCAAGCCTGTCAGTTCCGTTATTGTCTGTTCACAAATTTACCAATGAGAATAAGGTGTTCTTTGAATTTCACAGTAATTGCTTCTTTGTGAAGGACTCCCAACCAAGGCGGTTCTCATTAAGGGTTGCACGGCGGGTGGCTTGTACAAACTCCCGGTGGTTCAATCTCATTTTGCGTTCGTCAGTTCCCGGGCTACTCCCACTATCTGGCACAACAGACTAGGTTACCCATATAATCTCGTGCTAAATAAAGTGTTGCAGAAGTGTCCGGTCACGTCCAATAAAACTAAGCCTACAGAGTCGTGTGTTGCGTGCCATCTCGGAAAGTCATCGCGGTTCAAATTAGATTGGGTTCCAAATTCTAGTTCAAATGTTCTAGATTTACTATTTACTGATATCTGGGGACCTGCTCTTGTAATTTCTAGTACTGGTTATCGCTATTTTCTATTATTTGTAGATGACTATTCCAGGTTTGGCTGGTTTTATCCATTACGGGTAAAATCAGACATCTATAAAGTGTTTGAGTCATTTCGTGTGTTGGTAGAATGTCAGTTTTCGCGTTCTATCAAATCTATCCAATCGGATTTAGGGGGTGAATACCGTAAGTTACATAATATATTCCAAACACTGGGCATAAACCATCGTCAATCATGTGCGTACACACATGAACACAATGACCGAGTAGAGTGCCGCAACAGACATATTGTTGAAACCGGTCTTGCTTTACTCGCCCAAGGCAATGTACCCCTTCAATACTGGGACTACGCCTTTGAAACAGCAACCTGTTTAATCAACTATCTGCCGTCCTCGGCAATAAACTTTGAAAGCCCTTATTTTCGTGTCTACAAAACACAACCTCCAGACACGTTTCTACGCGTCTTCCGTTGTCGTTGCTATCCCTATCTCCGCCCTTATAATCGGCACAAGATAGAGTACCGGTCAGCACCGTGTGTCTTCTTAGGTTACCCGTTGTCCTTTAGGGGATACAGATGTGTTGATCCAATAAGTGGAAAAACCTATGTCTGTCGTCATGTCCGATTTGACGAGTCTGTTTTTCGTTCTCTACAAGAAC